TGGTGGACAGAGAAAAAAAGTGCCTTAGCTGCTTCAGTGTCAACTTGAAATTCATTTTCTTTCTCCCAGCTCGATCAGTCACTGCAGGTCATCTTATTTCAGTGGTTCCTAAAGCATCCTGTGTACACACAGAGTACATACACAGGGGCAAATGGGCTTTTCATTCACTGGGTAAATGATTTGTAGCTGTATATAAAGTAGTGTTGCAGTTTATTAGTTGAATTTCTGTTGCTTAGATTGAAAAAGTATCTGACAGTGAACGGGAACCAGCAGTTCCATTTTAATCCCACGGGGTAATAATTTTCTACTATTATATAGAAAGCCTTACTCCAGTTATTATCCATATTAGTTGGTGGGGTTTTTACAGCACCACAACGAGAAACTTGCCAAGCAATAAATTCCATTGAAAGGTTTCTTTGTGTCTTTAGGAAAAGCTTACATGAGACACTTCCCTACTTACATGCAATAAAAGGCAATAATGAAGTACACAGCACACGAGTAACCATTAGCTTGTGCCATTGTGTATTTTAATGGCTTTAATATGGATAACTTTCCAAACTGCACAGAGTCAAACGAGTGCCTTTGCCTTTCTCTGCGTCTACCCTTTGAATTTACAGAAAACCTGATTCACACAGATTGTGGAACTAAACCGTCACTCCAGCTGCTCTGCTTTAAGTTTCCCAAACCTTTGTGAATCATTGTGTGGTTTTGAACAGCCTGGTTGTTGTGACATAAATATTTTTCTAATTGATCAAATATGTTTAGGTTTGGTTGGTTTATATTTTTAACTTTAAAAAATGTCATTTTTTAGAAGGATTTATTTAATTTTTAGGAAATTGAATTAATCTTGTTTTTAAGGCACCATTTCCTTTTTATGTTTCCAACTAATTGAAGCACAGGAATTATTTTGCTTTTTGTCTCAGACATTACAGCTTTGTTGGGCTTTGGATTTGTTTTTTTTTAAGTGTTCCTTCAAAAGCTCTAGGGTTTTTACTGCTTGGCAGTTGTTAACTACCTGCCTCCTTGTTTAATGTTCTAGGAAAGTGTTCTGCCCACTTATGTCTCAGACCAAAAAAAACCCCAAACTCTGATGCATCAGAATAAATAAACAACAGGACAGAAAGCCAAATGTGGCAGGGATCAGAAACAAAGCCACGTGTGTAGGCTTAAAGAGCAATTTGGAGCCTTTATGCATTTTAATTCTAGGAGAGAAGTGATGAGTCAGTGCTCAGGCCACGCAGGACAGCCACAATTAATGGGTTTGCAGCTGGGACTGAGTGTCCTTGAGAGCCAGAGATCTTGAGGAACCCTTCATGAAACAGGAGGGGTCACATAACCCCATGAACCTTGTCCTATAGTGACTAACTGTAAAACTTCCTGAATGTCTAAGTTTCATTCAAATTTCTGGAGGATGGAAAGCTAAATTGGATACAGAGGCACCTTCACATGCACCAACAAGGTGCAACCAGGCCCTGGAGAAACAAGTAAAGTGCATCCATGGAGGCTTTGTGGTTAGCCCAGATCAGCCTCAGAGCTGGGCTGCTGTGGTGGCACAGCATCCAGGGGTTTTCTGTGTTTGCATGGCTGAGAAGTGCAGTGGTGCCATGGATCTTGGTGCTCCCATAGGAGCACACCCCTGGGCTGTGGAGTCCTGGAATGGAGGCATCAGGTGCCGTGTTGGACCTGAGACATGTCCTTTGTTTCTGAGTAGGTTGGTACAAGCCTTTCACTGTGACTGGCAGTGCTCACAGCCAGGCTGGATGAAGCCTTGAGCAACCTGTTCTGGTGGGAGGTGTCCCTGCCCAGGGCAGGGGGCTGGGGCTGGATGGTCTCTAAACTCCATCCCAACTCCTAAAATTCTATGATACTATGAATGACTGATGGTCGTCCTCCTTCAGTATCATTGTGGTGGTTCTTTTCTCCTTTTGGAGCTGCCACCCCAGCACTTTCCTTTGGGGCAGTTTCCCCTGCTGCCCTGTCTGGGTTCTCCCCACCCCTCCTCTGGTAGAGGCTTGGACCCATCACCCACAGGCTGCTGACTGGCCCCTGGGGATAACACCCTTGCAGAGGGCAGAGTCTTGTTCCACCAGGATTGCTGCTGTTCAAGGCTTGTCTGCAAGCATTGGACACCCTCATCATACCCTTCTGGCTCTGTAGAGTAAGTCTGCCAAAGCTAGAAACTGCCAGAGGTTATAGCTGGAAGCTCCTGGTAGGGAGCCTTAGTCTTCTTCATGTTCACTTGGGCTGCTTTAATGTCACAGAGACTGAAATGTCACTGCTTTCTCAAAATCACTCTCAGGCATTTTAAGAATGTAATTTTAGGATTTACCAGGGAGCCTAATGTTGTTAAGAAATGACAGTACACTTGTTTCCAGTTTTTAATGCTTTCTTGTAAAACTGAAAATATAAAACCAGCTGAGCAAATGTAGATCTTTATATACATGAGGTCTGTGATTAAAAAAATCCTTTTAGTTAAAAAAAAAAAAAGAAAAAGAGAGAAGAATTGACCAATGAGTTAAATGAAAACCGATTAAAGGGAACAACATCCTCAAATTGAAACATACTTTCCAAGAAGAAAAACCCTTTCTTTACAAGTTCATTATATAACTTACATTTACACTTTACTGAGAGAACTTACAAAACAAGCTGCTTGAAATGCTCCTCATTCCCTTAAAGCATGAATTTCAAAGTGCCACAGCAAAGGAACAGGTTCCAATATTATCTCATACAGACTATTCATGTATAAAATGGTTTGGTAAATGTGAGGTGTTTATTTAAATGAGCACATATAGGGATACAGACTAAATAAAAGTACTTGAACAACACCTTTGTTATTACATACGCAGTTATAGGTATAATAAAGGAAACAAGGTCAGCACTGCTCTTAGGTATCTGTATAGATGGAGGGAATGTGGTTCAAGCAGTGATCAAAGGCGCCGTTTGGGAAGAATCCATTTTCATCCGTCCCATTGGAGACCATGTCCTCGGAGACACACTGTGCTTCAGAGATTGCCTCATAGCCTGAGAGCGTGACAAGAGGGATGGACATGGGTTAGTGCCATGGTACATATAAGGAAGGAAGCACAGTTTTGAGGCCTGGGATCATACAGGACAGCACAGCATTAATGAAAAGACAATAGGGTTTACCATCAAAGCCTTACCCAGGAGATACACAAACTAATCTCCATGGGCATTTGTGTCATCGTAGCTGAGGCTCCCATTCATTTCTGTGGAAAGCTCTCCATTTGCAAGTGAAGTGCAAGTATCACAGTATGACTCTCCTGGGACTGCACAGTCATTATCTGAATAGGATGTCAAAACAATGAGTGGGCAAGGATCCTAATAAGTGTGCACTAAAAGTGATGCAGTCCTCTTGTTTTGCGTTTTTCCTTTTAATAGCACTTACGAACAATGTTCCATGTGTCTCCCAGCTGCTCTTAAGACCCAGCAGAAATCTGGATCCTATGTTTATTGGCTCCCCAGATAACACAGAAGTGAGGTGTAGGGGAGTGTGGCTGGGGCAGGTCAGGCTCACAGGAGGTGTGGAAGGAGCTGTGCACCTCAGCCCACCATGCTGCTGGCTCCTCACCTGGCCGAGCTGGCTGGTGCTTGCCAGGCTACCAGAAAGCCACTGCAGTGGGGAAGAAGTTCTCTGTCCTTCTCCTTTTATAATGCCCAACTTCCACAGCTGTTATGAGCCTCCTGAGCTGTGCATCCCTGTGGAAAGGAGCAGGTTTGCCTGCTACCAGGTGCTATGGCAGCCAGGGAGTCTGAAACAAAAGGTTTATTGCCTACCCCAAAGGGCATGAGAATCTCCTGTTATGGCCCACTATAACTTGCTTTTGCAACTCGCCAGTCAAGGCTCACATGCACATGGTCATTTTACTGCAGTCCAGCTCCTCCTTACTTCCCCCCTGCCACATTCATCCCCTACCCTTCTTTCTGCATGTCACTGATCCTGTACATTCATCCTTCAGCATACTAATTCTGTTTCACTTTGTACCACCTGATTTGGGTTGGGTCTTTAGAAAAGCATTTGTGTGAGCTTCAGTGCCAGGTTCTGCCCCCTGCACCCAGAGCCCACCTACCACAACCCCAATGAGCAGCAGCAGCATCAAGCCAGCTGAGGCAACACATGGAACAAGATGCTTGTAGTTCAGCAAACGCCTGTGAACTATGTGCATGATGTAGAAAATAAACCTCTTACAAATCACATCTGTGTGAATTTCTAGTCAATGTGTGGACAACTGATCCTTATGGCTAAAGCATGGGACTTCACTCTGTTCTCTGCTCTAGTCTCTGGGAAATGACTGTTTTTCTGTGCCTTAATGGAAAATTAGTTTATTTCTTGTCTTTAGCCTCTCTCTTGTCCTTTCCACCTGCCTACACCTCTGCAGGCAGGTGTGTCTGGACGTGGCTGAATTGAACGCTGCACGAGGCTCCACTGAGTCCTGGGGGCTGTGCAGCACTGCACCACCAGCCAGTGACAGTCTCACCCAGCCAGTCCTGGTTAAAGAAAGACTCCTTGGCTTAATTATAGGTATTTTACTCTTAACTATGTTTTTTATTATTTGACACCAAATTCTCTACTTATTTACATTTCTGCATTTTCCTATGACGTATTAATTTACTGCTAGTTTGCAGGTCAAATTCTGCTGTCTGCAAAAACCTGGCACAGAGCCGGTGTCCAAAGGTTCTGGGAGATGAACTTGGCCTGTTTATGTGCCCTGTGCTGTGCTGGGCCAAGTGGAGTGACCAGTATTTTGATAAGTTTTGTGAGTGTTTACATTATGCTAATTTCTATTTGATGAGCCTGTATACAGGGTGGATACACAACCACAGATGGACAAAGCCCAAGATAAGCATACACCCCAGAAATAATTATTAGATTCCAGATAGAGTAAACTATCCAAAGTCCTGAACAGAAAATAAAAATTTATTGACTGTTAATGTGATTCATGGAGCAGCTGTTTGCCAGTCACATTTGGCATTCCAGTGAGATGAGATCCCATTTAATATTAATGGTGCTGTAAAAGCCTGAAAAAAATTAATGCTTAGCCTTGATGAATCTTGCAAACCTGAATGGTTCTATTTTGCACACTAAAAGATGAGATAAGATTTATATATTTCACATATATTTATGTTTCAGCCTTTTAAGTATTTGCATGCCTCAATAACCACTCTAAAAACACAAATATTAAACAGAAACATTTCATGATAGTTTAGGCCCAGACAGAAAAATCAACTGTTGTTGAAGTTGGTGTCTTGCCACAGTATTATTCTTTGCTGCTACAATTTCTTTTGGAAAGTTTATTTAGTCTGTTCTTTAAATATCACAGGCTGTCAATCTAAACTTGAAATTTGATGTTAACATGAAAAAACTCTGTTTTAGCAACATCAGACTCCCGAATAACACTAAAGAACCCAAAGCTGGAGTTGAAACTTCATCTTAAACGTTTCCCTTGTGTTGGTTACTGATGCATACACGTTCCAGCATGGAACAGCAGACAAATGTGTGCAGGTTCCCTCTGAACAGAGTCTCCTTTAATACAAAACAAACAGGAAAGTCAACTCTAATTTTGTGGTCTGACTCAGGCCCCGTTTCAAAAAGCGTTTAAACACATGTTTTGGGGATCGTCCTCAACCTCCTGAGTGCAGACATGGAGGAAACTTTCTGGGAGAAAGATTGCAGCAAATGGTTGTGTTTCATAGCTCTGACAATACTCATGTTTTGTGTGATTTCAGTAACTGTCAATTCTTTAATTGTGGCTTTAAAAGTAGGGAAAAAATGACCACTAAAATATTGAAATAGTACAGTAATCTAGTGATTATAAGTTTGACCTGGCTGTAAGAGCCTGTCTGAGCACACCTGAGGAGATGTGCAGTGCACAGCCCACACAATAAATGTGGAAAGTGCTTTGTTGGTCACCTCTCCTGAAGGTGTGTGTTGCCTATGACATCCAGCAGAATAGAAGGAGACTGTCCATCAGTCAAATACAGCAGGATTAAAGACAAAAAAAATTGCTTTCCATCTGGGATTTTTATAGATGCAAATCAATTTCAGTGAAGAAGTTTCTTATACAAACCCATTTTTGTAATAACATCGACTATAAAATGTGTTCCTCCTCCTGCTAAAAATATCACATGGATAATTCTTTATAGGTGGAATAAATTACCTGTTGAAGCTAAAGGTGCATTGAGTATGTGATAGCCATTCTGCCTCAGAGGGTTGAAGCAATGGGATTCCCCTGTGAGCACATCACTGGTGACAGACTGGTCCACTGTCCTGTAGCAGTCTCCATAGTGGAAACAGTTTTGTATGGAGTGAAAGCTGCCTTGGTAACCTGAAAGCAGATATTGCACATACATTTTAACCCTACTGCAATGGTACTAGCTCCATTTCTGTTACAGTATTTCATTGCTATTATGAGGGAATTTAGTTCCTCCGTTTTAACGATAGAAAAATGTTGTTCTGTAAGGCATAATAACAGAAGAGCTGCATCAGACTCGATCCCACAAGGTGCTGTGGGCTGTGATCCCCAACAAGCAAAATCTCAAGATGTGCTTCATTTCAGGCAACAGATCAGTTGAACACAGTCAACACCCCACTTGGTTCAAAGCTAAGCAGTAAGTATTCCACTGGATCAGGTCCAGGAAGCTCAGCTCCTAAGGGAATGTCTCTATAACGAATTGCTGATGATTTCAATACAATAATGCAGTATTTGAATGAATAGCACTGCTTTGTTTTCAGCTGAGTAAAGTCTCTTCCCATCCAGTGTATGTTATGCACTGCTGGAGACAGCAGTATTTATCTGAGATACCTTTATGGGTACCTTAAATCTCTCCTTTCTCATACTGTGCTTGATTCAAATGGAACCCCTTTCCCTGAACACAGGACCACAGCCTGCAGGTAACACTGAGTTAGAGTGCAGGACTGACTCCAGTTAGACATCAGGTGAAGACTCTGAGTTCAGCCAGAGGCTCTGCTTGCTCCTGAGGAGTGCTCAGATAAATCTGCGTGGTCTCTGGCTGCCTTGGTCACTCTGCTTTTGGGGCATGCTTGACTTTTGTTCTCTCACATATCCTGCATTCCTTATATCCTGCTTTTTTTTAAAGCATTGTATTACTAAAGCCCAGCAGTTTGGGTTTTGCCAGCAGAAGTTCTGAATGAGTGGTAGACAACAAGATATATAACAGTAAAGGACAAATGAATTGCTGAGGAAGGAATTTTACAACTTACAAGTTGTGCCAACACCCTAAAAGAAAATTGTTATGCGCTCTCATAGGGTGACCTCAAAGCATGGCACAAGATTCACACCAGCCATGGCCCGATTTAATTCTCTTCCTTCCTCCTTCCTCAATAGCCCCTTCCTGATTCCAGGTGCATTGCACACTCATTGCGCATTCAAATTAACTACCCCTTTTCCTACCTCCTCTGAAATGATGCTCCTTCCCTTAATGCAACTGAAATCACCCAACTCAGGCTTGAAGGCTAGTAGAGTGCACTTCAGGATTTTCCTCTAATTGCCAGAAAAAATATGGAGCTGTTGTCTTTCTTCCCTCGGTCTCACTCAGACTGAAATATTTCCTCAGGAACTACTGCAAAAGCTCCAGGTAGTTCAGTCAAGCACAGTCACAGCCAGACCTCCAGCTGACAGCTGTCAGCTCAGCCCCACGCAGTGCAGACCTGACTTGCTGGGCCAGTTGTGCAGCTCTTCAGTCTGTTTGCTTAGAAATGAAATCCCTGTGCCTGTCACCAGAGCCCCCGGGGGCTGCACAGGGTGGAATCTGGCCCTTACAAATCATGCAGTGTATTAGCTTTTCCCTCTTTAGTAAGATCTCCCATATTTTTCTGTATTTTCCCTTTTCTACCAAGGTCTGACCAAGCAGACAGTGTCAGGCACAGCTCAGTGTCTGTTCACTCTGGTCATGTTTCTAAGGTGGTAATAAATAAGGCCAAGTGAGGCAATTCTTGAGTAGAAGTGCAATGAACTCATTGAGTGGTGAAAGATTTGCTCTGAAGTTTCACGGTTTAATATGTATTTTGGCAGAATCTGCAAGGATTAGATGATTAATTTCTTGAGAACTTATGATCCTCTACCACAAAATACCTAAATTGTTGATCTCCACGATTGGAGAAGTACTAGTGGATGACTTTATTAGATAAAGACACTACACACACTGTATCAAGGCTGTTCATGTTTGCTGCTGTGCAGAAGAAGGCCCAGAAATTTGGAAAGCTGAGTATTAAATGATGCATGTCCTTCCTTGGAATAAACAGACAGCCACCCCTATTTACAGCCTGGAGAGTCTGGCTCAAGGAACCAAAGAGCTCTTATGAGAGGTAGCAGAGCCACCTTTTGATGTGGTTTTAGGTACAGTGCTTTATTGATTGGCTTTTGATAATGATCCTGACTTTTCTGTTTCCAAAACACAAACTCCTTGCTGTAAGGCTTCTAAAAATATAGCCCTTTGAGATGAGCAGTGAAAAAATAGAGACACACTTGGCTTCAGAGGAGGTACAACTGGTTGCAAAGAGCACTTAGGTAAAACGAACCCTTGCCAGAATGTCTGTTATCCACATCACTCCTAGGGAAGGTATTTTCTTTGTGGCTGTAACTGCTGCCTGTTCCTCATGCTCCCAGGCTTGTCTTTGTTACATCACTGAAATATCTCCCTGATCTACAGGGCTGGCACAGTGGCTCAGAAAATCAGAGAACCACCAAGCGTGACAGAACTGGATTGAAACTAGTCACATCCAGGGTTTGCCCAAGGCCTATGGGTAAAGGTTCTTCTGAAGTATTTTGAGTTACACTGCCTGGCAGCTCAGGAAAAAACACCTGAAGCAGAGAGCTGCCTCAGCATCAGAAGTCTGGAACAGATCTGCCAGAAGCAATCAAATTCTCCTTTGGATTGCAGCATCTATCCCTCAGCTCCACTGTGTGGTAATCAGAAAAGTGTTCCTGGAGCTATGCAAGGAAGAGACACAGTGCAGGAAAATCCCAGTGCTGATGCACTGCTGTGTTCAATGGGACCAAATTCCTGCTCAGTGCTTCCCAGAGAAAATAGAAAGAAATGCTCCTTCCCTGTTCTGTGCTTGCTGATGTGATAAATCCAGTGAGCAAACTAAAGAAAACACATGGAGTGAGGAAGGGAAAGGCTGCAGCAGGAACATGGGTCAGGTGAAGCAAACCACAACCCCAAAAATGAGACTTCTCACCCTTTGGGTTCAGGCCATTTAGTTGTGGTTCCTTTCTTGAAATGCTCAGCACAGAAAATACTAGGAATTAAGATATGATTAAAATCTCATAACCAAGGGTTCCATTAGCAACCACAGATGGTCAATTAAACTCCACAGGGAGTGTTTTTTCACAAGTTCTTAGAAAAGATTCCCTTCAGGGACTAAAATACAAAGTGAGCAAGAAGGTTTCTCTGGTGCAGACATCACTGCTCCTTCTAGGGGAGCAAATCTGTAGTACCAATTCAGCAGTAAGTGTTTCACCAATATTTTTTTTGCCACATGGATTTCAGGTTTTCCTTCTGTTTAGATTTAAATCAAAAATTTTCTGAGGTCAATTTTCCAGCAAAGAATTTACTAAATGTCCCGTCAGTTGAAATGATCACTGTTAAATGTTTTATGTACAGTAGATGTAGAAATATAACAGTTCATAAAGGAATCAACTGCGTTCCAAGCATAACATTCAGTTAAACTTTTGCTTTGAAATAATTTGTGACAGAAAAGCTGCAGTTAGCCACTTCACACAGTGCACTGGCTGCCTCTGCTTCTCTCGGGCACAGCCTAGAAAACTTCAAGCAGCTTTAAAATGTATGATGTAATGAGCAAATAATTGGAATATGCCTATTAAATGCCATCTTGTTATGTCATGTCATTTACATGTATGTGCAAATAAATCTCAGCTTTTCAAATTCCATAAAATTCCTGACGAGAAATCATGTCAGGTATAAATAACTACAGGGCTCCATTGCCTGCCAAATTCTTTCAGCATGTAATAATTTCCATGTGATCTTACTACAACTAGGTTTAAACATATAAATAATGTCAGCCTTTTCTTTCATTATCAATATTTCTGCTACCAGTCTGAAAAGGTTTGCTGTCTCCTAACAATTCTACATCCACAATGTTTATGCGCTCCTAGTTCTACACTGGGATTAAATGGTGTTCCAGGGGTTTTTCTGGCAAAAATTCAAGACTCCAAAATTATTACAGATTCCATTAGAAAAAATGTGCTATTAATGGATTGAGATGCAAAAAAAAAAAAATTGAGTTGTAGAGCAAGTACAGCTAAATACAGGTTACAGATCAATTGGTTTCAAAGGCTGCTAATCAAAATTGATTTTGGAATGACCATTTCCATAATGAATTTATAATAATACTTCAACATTTGGCCAAAGTGGAAAATTATTGCTTTTTCAAAACCACATGACATAACACTTAGAAAGCAACAATTCATTCAAAAGGAAATGTGGTTTTCTTAAGGAATAAAGTCAATTTATTTAAGTGGTTCAAAACTTGTTCTGTCTATGCATTTGTTTCTGCCATAGTAATGAGCTGCTAAACTTTCCTCTTGTGGCTTGTAGTTATTTAGTTCATTATAGCAACATAATCATATATCATTATGTGCTATCATAAATCTGCCACTTTTCCCTTACAGAGTTAATCTTTTTAAATTGAATAATCTGTTGAGCATCAGGTTGAGTTAGTTTTTCCTTCAGCACAAATCATTAAATGTAATATGCTTTAACTTTTCAGACCAAGTCAGTCCAAGTGAAGAGCAAAAACACTCCTCAGAGAATGAGGGGCAGAGGGAACTGTTGGAATATCCAACCCCAGCACAGCTCTGAGCTGCTCACTGGGTTTGTGTCCAAGCTCTGTTTCAGCTCTACCCAGAGCACATCTTGAAAGAAAACCTCCTATTTTACCCACTTGGTAAACTGATCAGATGTGATAGTTTGACAGCCCAAAATGACCTTACAGAAATGACAGTACAGCTGTGAAATGAGTCCCAAAGAACTGCTTATCTGCCTGCACAAACTTATCTGCCTGGTTATACTTGCAACCAGACAGATGTCCTGCACACTTCTTTATTGTGCAGCATCTCAGCATCTGGATTGTGTAACGCATTTCTGAAACATGCAAACACTGTTACTGGAAGAATCTGTGATGATAATAGTATCTCGTGCTAAATTATGCCTAAATGCCTAAATCTCGTGCTAAATTATGCAGAAATGTTCATTAGTTCCCACAGCAGAACTCCAGAATAGGTATATAAGCTCCCAATTAAACAGGCTGAGTAATTCAGAACAAAAAGTGGTTTAAATTAAGCAGTGGGACAGCTGCTTAGCTGCTCCCATTCCTGTCCCCAAATCCCACAGGCACTCTGCAGTTGTACAGAGAGCATTTGCATATTAGAATATAAAATAATACACATGCCAAACTTCCAAATAATAAATGGAAGACTCTTTTTTTCTTTGTCTAAACTCATGTCTAGTGCCTCACTACGAGTGGTCCAAGCAGGACACGACCAAGGTGTGTCTCAGCCCATGTGCTCTGGGGTGAGATGCCTCTTGCTCTAGCAGGGTCACTCTCCAGGCTGAGGGAAGACTGGATGACCAGCCAGGTGAGGTGCATGGCTAACAGCCATCTGCTGAAGAGCCTGAATAAATGGCACAAATCTGCTGTTGTGACAGCTTTCCCCCTTATGATGACACATCACAGCATGAACCTGTCTGAAAAATCTGATTTGTATGCACAAACACTTTAAAAACTGGAGTTGCCACTGAAATCCTGACAGCTCCTTAATCAGGCAGTACTGACTGTATATGCGAAAACTGAGATAAATTCTTTCTTCCCCAGCTAGGAATTAAAAAAGTTAAGAGAGAAAAATAAAAGAGGGAGGAGTTACCTTGAGATCCCTGCTGTACAGACTGGTTTTGAAATGAACTGTATGGTTTATTTGGTATTCCAGGGAATTGCTGCCCGGTCGGTGACTGGCTGTGTGACGATGGAGAGCCGTGTTTCTGCAGGAGGGAAGGTGGAACTAATGCTTTCAAGGGGCTGACAAGTGGGGATATTAGGTTGGGAGCAAGCCTAGAAAAAGAAAATACAGAAAAACTTCACATATCACATCACAATATGGGAAAATGAAATACTTGAATGGCTCTGTTTCCATAATGGTCAAAACCCAGGTACAAATGATATTGTAAAAAAGGTAACAATGCAGTGCTGCTTTCAGGTATTCACTAGGAGGAAAGGGAATGAGAAAAGGAATTCTGTTCCTTTACACTGACTTCCTGGATTGGCCACAATGATAGAAGCAAAATGACACCAAATTCCTTGTTAGGAACTGTAGTGACCAGACACGAAGCAATGGGTACAAATTGAAAGAGGAGAAATTTAAGTTAGATATTAGGAAGATGTTTTTCCTGTGAGGGTGGTGAAACAGGTTGCCTAGGGAGGCTGTGGCTGCCCCAACCCTGGCAGTGTTCAAAGCCAGGTTGGATGAAGCCTTGAGCAACCTGCTCTGGTGGGAGGTGTCCCTGCCCAGGGCAGGGGTTGGGGCTGGATGATCTGTAAGGTCCATTCCAACTCTCCAACATACTATGATACTATGATGACTCCACTTCTCACAGCTCACTTTTCATTTAAAATCTCATGAGCTGAGATACATAGAATGAGCAAATGCAAGTAAATTGTTTAAGTGCCTTTGTAACTGCAACAGGCTAAAGCTTTATACCCACACTGCAGCCCAGACAAAGAAAAGCATTAGTTTCAGTTATTCTTCATGTAGGAGTTTTTAGACAGAAATTCAGCTTCAGCTGCAGCAGATGGCACCGTCCTTTCAAAGGAAGAGCCTGAGGAAGTGTTTGCTTGTGGCACCACTGCTCAGTGTGAGGCTGAGGAGTGGCTGTACCTGAGAGATGGAAAATTCCCCCAGGCAGGACTCAGGCCAGCACAGGAGCTCTGGGACAGCCCTGCTTGGGGAACAGACCCCAACCCAACACTCCCACAAGGAGCTGGAGCAGCTGAGGAAGAAGCTCTCTAACACACTGGAGGGTGTGTTGGTACCGAGGGCTGGTTCTGCAGTTGGCACATAGTGGACAAGCCCTTTGCCAGAGATGCCTTTTGGCTACTTACAGCCAGAAGGATGGCACAGTGTAGAAAATGAGACCAGAGACCTGTCCAGTCACATACAAACCTCTGTTCTAGACCTGTACTATACTAACTCTGTACATGAGTAAATAGGTAGAAGGTGGATCTTTACCCTGCAGCTGTGACAAATGGCCCTTTGCTCCACAGCCCAGCATTACACTGCCAAATAACACAGGGCCATATGTTCACCATGTACTCTCTGTTGCCTCTGGAGCTTTTACTAAACATAACAAGTGGCTCTTTAAGCTTCAGATGCTGGAAAATCCACTTCTGCCTGAGAGTCACCCTGAGGAAACTTCACAGCTACAGGTCCTGAGGCGCAGAAATAAAAATACCTCTGCAGGTTATTGTAATACACATCACTGAGCTGGAAAAATACTAAGCACAAACCATTGCAAGCATACGAAGAATCAACTAAAAAGCATTTAAATCTCTCACTGGTGTGTTCTTCTACCACTGCACAAGTTGTTCAAACAGCATCCACCATCATTTCACACAACTGCTGCTTGGAGCAGTTAGGATTGACCTAAGGCTATGCTTGACTTAGGGCTAAGCACTACATGGCAACGTGCAAGAGGTAAACAGAGAGGAACTGTGAATTAATGGTGACAACAGCTTAATCAAATTTAACATGAGAGGCAGAGGAACACTGCCAAAACCTGTCACAGTGACACTCTATTAAAAGGGGCTTAAATAAATCAACTAGTCTAAGTCCATCCTGTGCTGAAATACTTCCATCTCCCAAAGCAGGAAAAGAAGGCATAAAATACAAACCACAGAGACTCTGAATATCCCTGAACTAAGCTGAGGAATTAAACTAGTATTGTTAAGTGGGTCAAGGCAAGGATATTTTCAAGTCAGATATGTAAGAACTGGAAGACAATATTTTTGTGACAAAGATAGCCCCCTCAGTAAGTGCTTACCAGCAATATGTAAAATAAAGAGGACTAAAGAGAAGAGAAGGTCTGGACAAGTGAAGGTTGTGTGGAGACCTCATAGCAACCTTCCAGTATCTGAAGGGGCTACAGGGGAGCTGGGGAGAGAGTCTGTTAGGAGCTGCAGTGATAGGACAAGGGGTGATGGATTCAAATTGAAGGAGGGGAAATTTAGGCTAGATATTGGGAAGAAGTTTTTCCTGTGAGGGTGATGAGACATTGGCACAGGTCGCCCAGGGAGGCTGTGGCTGCCCCAACCCTGGCAGTGTTCAGAGCCAGGTTGGCTAAAGCCTTGAGCAACCTGCTCTGGTGGGAGGTGTCCCTGCCCAGGGCAGGGGGTTGGGACTACATGATCTCTAAGGTTCATTCCAACCCTTTAACATACTATGATAAAGTTGAATTTTAAGAGCCAACATGCAAGTAAATTAAAAAATCTTATTTGTTTTCTGTTTGGGTAAAGGCTTGGGGAGGCAGAGGTGCCAAAACTGGACCAGGGAGTGCAGGGGCCATTTGTGTCCTCCTCAGGTCAGAGACAAAACGCTCTCAGGAGCCTGAGCTGCTGACGAGCAGATGCTCAGGGGAAAACACTGAGTTCATTTGCTAAGCAGCAGCCAAACACTCAGGGCAGCTCCCATGTGGCTGTAGCTTTTCCTCAAAGGTCTCAGTAGAGAAACAGTTGAACACAAATGAGCTGTGGTGCAGCCCAGCTGTGAGTCGTATCCTCTGCAGTGCATGTCTGTGGTGAACTGCTGCACCAAGTCAGGGCTGACATTATCTGCTGGGACTGACACAGAAGCCTTTGGGACTGACACAGAAGCCTTTCCTCTGGTTCCTTCCCAGGCTGTGAGCAAATGTGGCACAGCACAGCCACAAACTGCAGCATGGTCACCAGCCCCTTCCAATGACACACATGGGGACATTGTCCTCCACACGCCAGGAATGCTGTTAGAAGCCTGGAAATGCTTCTATCTGAAAGGAGATTTAAAAGATTGCAGTTGTTTTCATTGGAAAGATAATAGCTAAAAGAGCTCATGATAGTGACATTTATATGGCTAATGACCACACACACATTTAAAAGAGAAACAAAAGATGTACTAAAAACTCCACGGCTGGGATGAGCCAGAAACCACTCTGAATAGGGGAGGGAAATGCTTCTGGGGAGCGAGTCCTCTGCAACTGCCTGTGTTGGGTTTCCTCTGCCTGCTCTTGGAATGTCTTGTCCTGGCTACTGCTGGGAAATGCAGCACCCCATGGAGACCTGCCGGGCTGCTCCGAGTGCTTTGTTAGGATGGAGGAGCCATCGTGTTCTCAAATTCTAGTCAATCATGTTGCTTGTCTAACAAAACTGGTACACTTAGGTGTCCAGCTGAGGGAATACTGAAAATCCCACATTCCCTAGCAGTTTAACTACTCCCAGAGGATACTTGAATCTTAACCACAGGAGAAGAGTTTAACAGTTTTTATTGTTATTTTTAAAGCACTGCTTGTCCCCACTCACACTCTTCTGCATTCCTGTTTTTCCTGTGTGTGAGCTCAGAGGTTGTGACAGAGCTTGTGCTTCGAAGCCTTTGAGATAAGTGGCTCAGGGATGTGAGAGTGCCCTGCGAGGCCAGAGGGATGCAGGCCCTGCTCCAGCTGGGTGATCCGAGCGGCGTGCGGAGCTGCCAGCTCGCTGCTCCCACCGGGCACTGCTGCCCTGGGGCTGGAGCTCAGCAAACATAGCTGACTGTCAGCAGCAGTATCCTAGGAGCTCTCTGCAGAGCAGGGACCTGAGCTGAAACCCTGAATGCTCTGTGTAATGCTTGACCATCACTGCCTCCTCTGCATCAAGAGTTTCACAGAGTTGAGCAGGTCACCAGAAAATCCACTATATTCTGCTCTGTCTCTCCCAAACGGAATTTAGCATGTTTCCTGTAAGCAAAGGCACAGTTTTTAGCTAGGAAAGAGCTTTGCTCAGCAGAAAAATCTCACTATTAGCACAAATGGCTAACATGGGGATTTCCCTCCTTAAAATATTCATCACAATCCCTACAGCTCAAGCTGGTCCCTAAGTATTACTCTGCGTGTGTGTGTGAATGTGCTCTGGCACACTCGAGGGGAGTTCTTCATCAGCTAACTGTCCAGTTCCCAGTGCTTTGGTTTTAATTCTCTCCTGAATATCTGCCTACTAATTAGGTTGCTGTGATACTCAGGTTGTTAACAGAGAGGAGGAATCAGGATACAAATTAAATAGATAATGCATCAGGAACAGAATAGAGCTCTGTTAAGCTGCTTCTGAGTGGAAGTCGAAACTCTGAATGACTTACACCAGGAACTCAGCTGGATACATTAAAATTCCCAGGCAGTAGCTCAGGCATGTATGTTTCAATAACTAATAGCCTGCACATTTCCTGTTAATACTCTACTACAACCACAGTTTGCTTTGCTTTGGATATTAATAATAAATATATACCACATATTTTACTTTAATTGTAACTTGTATAATCCAGTAAATTTGCAGGTCCTTTTGGGGCCTTTTAATGCATATCTGTGCCTATATATAGCTAGAGAGAGAGAGATATAAATACTCTCACACACATGTAAAAAACCCCTTATCCTTCCTTAATTCATTACATTTGAGGGCTCCTGGCTGTGTGGAATATTTCTGTTCAGGACCATACATTTTTGTCATCTCCCTAACCTTGTGACTAAGCTAAGGATTAGCAGTTCTTAGAGATGGCTGATGTGGTCCAACTGTTGATCAAGGCTATCCTGTCTTACAAAGAAGTTTGATGGCAAAACACTGAGTAACTCAAACAAGTTAACTCACTTCCAGGCTTTTACTACTCCATTACCAGAAACCTCCTGTCCCTCAGGTGAGAGGTAACCTCTTAGCCCTGCATTTACCTCACTCCCACCCAGTATCCACCACAGACACTAATGAAATCACTGGCAAGCCCTCTCTGAATCCAGCACACTTCCAGGTGCCTATGGATGAATCTGCTATTGCTAAACCCTTTGCTG